AAACGATATCACGCAAAAACCGACAAATTGCAGAACCGATTTCACGCAAAAACCGATGTCTCGGATAAAACGCGCGTAAAAAGAACGCGTAGTGGAGCCCGGCCTTTAGACAATTCCTTCAATAAACCGTGTACTTTGATTGACGCCAATTGAAATGGTTGAAAACCGGGAACATGATTATGAGGTTGCAAACCACAATGCAGTGTTGTTGACATGAAATATACTTCCACGCATGAGGAGACATGATAGTCATCAATCACTCCAGGTATGGATGAATCTCATCATCACCTATCGCTTTACAGCAAATTGCCGACATTACTCGGAATGGATGGTCGGGGGCGGTTTCGGTCCCCAGAAGCTGGATGCATTCTTCTTCATTTGGATATGACTTGCAGAACTCCACAGGTGATCATTATTAATGACTTCCATAATGAAATAACACTGGTATCAATTTCCTTCGCCTGCCTCCGTTAAAAGCGTGCCATCAATCCCCTGGGCACGGGCAAAAACCGAACCGATTTATCACTGTTTTAGCCGCTCGAATGACAGGGAAAGACAGCAGCATGGTCGCGGGTCCATTTACCAGTTACCGAGCAAAGAGTTGTTTCAGTTAGGGTCAACGGGTGGGCACAAGAAGAGCTAAGTCATAAGTGTACTGGAAATCATCAACTGCATTACACGTATGATAGTTGACATTATCTTTTGCATTGCTTGAAATGATTTAGTGTGCCAAAATATAAATTTAGCGGAATTTTCAGCACATTAAACTAAACGCATGGTCAGTGACCAATGCCAATATCAATTAACATGCACTGAGTTTACCAGGAAAATGGACTCAGTGATAAAAATGGCATAAATATTGCAATGCTCTCGATGAATTCACCTCATTCAATTACACATAGAGGAATCTGTGACAAAACGCATTATAAATACAAAGTTGATGATCAAGGATGCCTATTATGCAAAGCACAATGAAGATATTAACTCAGCCAAGACCGCTTTTTCCAACGAGCAAATAACTATAGAGCCAGTGCCGACGTCGTCCTCCTGCGCTGGCGTCTTTCCGACGTCGTCTCCCGGCTGAAGATTCGCGCAGTGTCGTCGGCCTTAAACAACCCGGCGTCGAGTCATTCTCCCCGGTTTTATAGACTCGTGAGTCGCCCGGAACAGCCCTAAACAACGGGTGACGTGATTGCCGGTATAAACAGAGCCGGCTCGGCGGCGGTCCGCCGGGGACCGGCCCGGCCCGGGCTGTAACCAGGTAGGTCCTCTCGCGCCGGGTCGGGTGGAGTTCGGAGCGAGCCGAACCCGCGACCGGACGCCGTCGGTGGCCGCCGAGACGCCGATCAGATACTGGGGCATTCCATCGGCGGCCTTTTTACGACGGGCCCACCCACCGGCGGCCGGCGGACGGGCGCGCCGCGCCACCCTTGCCTGGCCTTGGTCGGCCGTCCTGTCGCCCTCGCTCGGGCTGCGGTGCATCCCGCCCGCGCCGGCCGGCGTTCGCGCTGATCGAGAGCAGGCGGCGGGCGCTGATGCGATTCGGCGTGTCAGAGTCGACGCGCTACAAGGGGCGTGACCGGGCGATGACGCCTCAGGAGAGGTACGAGTCGCTCCGACGGCTGAAAACGGCAGGTGGTGTCGGCGGCGGCTGTCGACTCGCGTCGCCGCGCGGCCGCTCATAACTCTCCGCCTGCTCACCGCACCATGCACTCACAGCGCGCGCTGCACGGCCGTCGTGCACCGGCGGGTTCCCGCGGTGTGACGCCGTCGGGCTCGGCGGCCCGTGATATTGCCGGCCGTTGCCGCCGCTGGTGTGTTCCACTCTCGCCGCGTTCAGGCGCTCCTGGCTGATGGACGACCTCTCGTCGCCCGGCGCCTCACGAAGCTGAGCGATGTCCGCCCGTCGACCGGCGCTCGCCCGGCCGTGGTTCGTGCCGTGCGAGCGCGCCGTGCCGCCGCGCCGGCCGCATCGCGTCATTTCACGCGGCGGGGCACAATGATTACGCCGACGGGCTAAATCACCCAGGGTCACCGCAGCGCTTCTGAGGTAGTTTCTGCGGTCAGTTACGAGCAGTTTATGGAATTCGCAGCGCTGGTCTTCACCATTAGCAATTACCTCCTACAGTTGCAGCTTGTACATTGGCAACACGCCTTTGCAACGTAAGCCAGTCACTCCGAGGGTGAAACGGTACGTTTTCATCCTCTTGAAACGGCAGACATGCCCCAACACCAAGACGACACAGACGGCGTTCCCTCGCAGTGAAATGGTACGTTTTCATCGCGTTGAAACGGCAAACGGATCGCCGACACGCTGAGCACAGAGCAGGCCTCCGTGACACGGGCGTCGACGCCTCAGGGGAGACAGGCTCGATCGCCCTCGGCAATTCCGCGCGCCGGCCTCCTATCACGAAGACAGCCGGCCTGGCGTCCTCTGAGATTGCAGCCGGGCCTCCTGTGGGGCCGACAGGTCGGGCCGCTATCACGCCGACTGCTCTGGCCGAGAGACCGGCGGTCGGCGGGCGGCGGCCGACCGACCGACAGCCGAGATGGACGGCGTGTCGGGTCGGCACCGATCACTCTAATCGGTGCTGCTGCAGCCGCTCCGTCCACCTGTCCGGCGAGCTGGCCGCCATGCCGGGGCGTCCCGGCCAGCGCAGTCCGACAAATACAAACACCGCCGGGCTGAGGACGGCAGGAGATCCCACCCAGAGAAAGGGTTGATTAAACCCATGAAGGAAACCGAAGCGGACCAAAATGAGGCCAAATAGAACCCATCCAAGGCCTGCCCAGCGGCCGTGCACGCCGAGCGGGGAGGGCGGGCCGGCGCCGGGCGGGGACGGGCGGGCCGGCGGCCGCTCGGGCGGGTTGGCGGCCATATTTCATCGGAGCCCGGCACGCCAGTACCGCCTTTTGTAGCGCTCGACGGCGCTCGACGGCGCGCCCCGGCGGTCGCGGCCGCGGCCTGCCGGCGCCCGCGCCCGCTCCGGCCGGGAAAGCCGGCACTGCGCGACCGGCCAGCACGGCGCGTCACGACCGGTCACGGATCGCCCGTGACCCGCGCACGCCCGGCTACGTCCCGAGTACGTCCCAGGTGGAGTAGCGGCGGGTTCTGCGGGCTCAGTCACGAGTCGAGCTCAGCTCACCGCGCTCTCGCGGCAGCTGAACCGGCGCCGCGCCGCCGAGCCGGCCGGTGTAAGTTATGGCGGCTTGCAGCTGATATTGTGTTCAAGTGGCCGCCCGATGCTTAACTCGGATGCAGGATTAGCCGTGCATTAGCATAGGATTGACAGATATGAGATAAGAACGAGTAAAAACGGCAATTAAAGCGTGCGTTACAGAGATTGATCTATTTTATTTGGGGGCCGGGCTCGTTCATTAGCGGCCACCATCGGGGTGGTAAATTCGCAATTGGCGAACGGACATGTGCTCGTGCACGGCTTGTAACGAGGTGCAGCGGTGGCATCGCACACAAACGGCGCATTACAGCGAACACTATTGCTAGATCGACCGCGAGTTATACAAGTGTTACGCCTTGTAATAATCACAAGTCAAAAGCTCTCAATTCGCATGCCACTTTCCGAAATGAAGTCTCACCCTCCGGTACAGTCGTGTACCATTAGAGGGAGGGGAAATTGTCCTCAAACTTTATTGAAGGCGACCCGATCGGTAGGGATCAGGCAATTCCCCAGCCAATAATTCAGCGGCTCCCCTATAGGCGGCGTCGAAAAACACACGCGCCGCCAACGACATGCCGAATTTACGATAATCCCATCACCAGCTAGCACGAGTATCATCGCCCGAGAGATGCGATGCCTCGTCTCGACACGATAATATTCTACCCACCCACCCCAAATCACGCACCGCCCCTAACGGCAAAAGGTACGACAAACGGTATACGGTGTATGTACGCCCCGTTTCTAACCGGGCTCACGATCCGTCACAGCAGCCCATCGCTGACGACATATGAGCCACCGCACTGCAATTGTCGTCGCGGCGACAAGCTGTGAAGGCGCGCAGGATCAACGTTGTAACGATAGCAATAACTGTCGCCGTCCATCGGCCGAGCCCGGGCGGGAGCGGCGGCGGCGGCGGCGGCGGCGGCGGCGGCAGCGGCGGCGGCGGCGGCCCGAACGCAGCCAAACCGGCCGGAAAAGAAGCCTCGATTGATGCAACTATCACACAATAAACCAGCGCAATGACGAGCTGCCAACGAGCGCAGGGCCGCCAGCGAGTAACGGCGGGGGCGGGCCGGCCGGCCGCGACTGTGTAGCAGATTTTCTTGAGTGAGATTACAAAGAAATGGAAAGAGTTGGACAGTTTTATTGTGGGCCAACTATGGCGGGATACGGCTGCAAGCTGCTGGAGAAATGTAGTGGAAACATGATTAAGAAAACATAAACTGAGCTTTATCTCGCCGAACGAGCAGCGCCGCATATATTTGAGTGGTTCGCAAGCTTATGAGCTCTGTTCAAACCCACAGCTTCTGACATATAGGGTGCTAGTCGGACTGGAATTGCCCTTTCATTTGCTATGGACATGATCATTCGTTTAACACTCCACGCTCTTGCAGGAACGTTACAAGAGCAATCACCACGAGAAAACGCTGCTTCTTTGCCTCAAATTTTGTTTTAAATACCACAATTTACAAAACAAATGACAGCAGCTTCAGTAAGAGCCTCGTGGACAATTGATGCATGAAGCCAAAAAAGAATACAGCTCAGAATTTTAGTCTGACCTTTTTTGTCAGATTATTTGCTTGAGCTCACAATTTGATTGCAATTCTTATGTTTCTTGGTATTTCTACTATTTCTTTTTGGATGGCAAGGCTAGGCAAAAACATTTGTCAACGGGCACAAACTTGATGTGAAGTATGTAAATGGATACATTGGATAGAGATATGGGCAGGAAATAAACTTTGGATAAGCGAATTATCTAATTCTATCTTTTTTTACCGGCAGCATCACAATGGTAGCCAGCCGCACTCGGCCTGCACTTACCATTGATGAAAACGCTCCAATCAGGATAAAACGCCTTCGCAATACGAGTCACTGGTATGCAATATCAAAGTAGCAGATTCCGGCATTTTGCATGTACCAAACGAACGCTAATTCCGTCACCCAGACTCCAATATCGGCTAACTGACTCAATGGAGCACAGTGAGCACGTCAGAGCACATTGCAGTGTCGCCTGCTACTGGGACGGCCATGGACAGGCGCAAGGTCCATGCGGCCACTGGCTGCGGCTCCCGGGGGACCGGCGTCCGCGCGCCAGAGTCCGAGTCGGCCTCACTTACCACTGCGCACCCATCGCGGCGAGCTCGTCCATCGAGTCGTGTCACATCGGCGCCGCTCCTGCGTCACCGCCGAGCACTGCACGCCACCGGCCGAGCTCACCAGCGCCACTCACCGGCCCGGCAAACAATTACAAACGGGCTACTATCACTTCACGCGACTACATGAGCACACTGAAGTTTTGATCAAGAAACATTTTAGTCAGTCGCTCATCGGGGCCGACATTACTCAATACCACGTGACCGGGCGGCGACCAATGAGCGCGCTGCTCGCGCTCCGACGGGGCCGGCCCTCGGAGTGGCACGCAGCGCTCGGCGGGCCGGCGTCCGACGGCCGGCGTCCAGCACAGCTCTATCCAGTTTTTACCCACCAAACAAATGCCATATGATTAGCCCTAGAAGATGAAGAAATTATCCGATCCGTCCCGAGAGGAAACCTAAAGATTCGGAGAGGCTGAGCTAGAAGGAAGCGCCGAAATCGGTCGAAAGGTGCGCCTCTGAGCGACTCAGCGCCGGTAGAAGTAATTGATTGACTTCAATGACCGGTGACTGTATGTTGCCGACTCATCTTCGGGATGTAGTGACACCGATTGCAGCGGGATGAGCAGGGATTGGCTGACACAACACGGTGTGACGATGAATTGGACATTATGGAGGTGTTGCACGTAGTAAACAAAGCGCAATTGACTAGGCAAAGCCGGTGCTATCGACAGGGGTTGCTGTTTCACTTCCGGAAGAGATGTTTAGAAAATTGTTTGTAGCAGAAAAATAGGAATAATACGGATTCAAAACTCTTCTTATTATGAAAACCATTGAAATGACTCAATCAAAAAAGACAATGTAGGGTTTTATGTCATAAAGCATAAGCTGAGTGAATCGGGATGCATCCCACCTAAAACGTGGGTGTTCTGGACTTAAAAATTGTTGTGCTTTTCTTAGACATTTTAAGACACACTATACGTGATTAAAATAACTAGTGTTTGAAAGGTAGATCGCCAAAGTTCCCGAGTTTCTCGAACTTAGTTTTCAGATGCTTACTTTCTACAAAAAATGTTAACCTCCAAGAACATAAGTTGCTTCAAGCCCACTGATTGCTTATCTAATTTTTTTCCGTTTGATCATTACTAAGAATAGGCTGCTCTTTTCATGCTTATATTCTTTATACATTTAAGCTGCCTTGCCTTTTAACTGTTCATTGATAAATAGTTAACCCAGTAGCGGCGGAACACCTTCAATTAAAGTGATCATCGCACCTTAACACTTAGTTTTGAATTGAGATAGCCAAAATGGGGTCCCTGGCCTGCACTTACCGGTTTGAGCACTCACAAGATCGAGAAATGCCTCAAATCGAAAATATCTAATTTCAAAGTTGCAGCACTTGGATTCAAAGGGGCTAATGCATTAGAATGCCCCCTCTGAATGCGTGACGTCAGCGCAGATCTAACGACTTTAAATCTTTCACTAAAACTTTTGGTAGCACGCGGTGGTATATGCTGCTTTGCGCGCAACAAGTGCCGCACTTTCAAATAAAGTCGCTAGGAACAGCGGAGATCCCAAAAAGTAAACAAAAGTAAAACTCTAATACTCGAGGGCAGCGCTTTTCGAGGAGCGCTGTGGCCCGAAGGTTTGGACTTTGAATTGTGAAAAACGCCCGCCCGCCGGAAAACGCAAACACCGCAAAACGCGCAAAACGCACGCCCGAAACGCCAACGCAAACGTCGCAAAAAATAAACAAACGCCCGCCCGCCGCAAACCGCAAATAAAAAACGCAAAAAACGCCGCAAAACAATAAAACCGCCCGCCAACCGCAAACAAATTTAACACCGCAAACGACGCAAAAAAAGAAGAAGAAAACCGCACGCATCGCCCGCCCGCCCGCCCGCCCGCCGCCAAAGACAAACACCGCAAAAAACACAAAACGCCCGCCCGCCGCAAAACGTAAACACCGCAAAACGTGTAAAACGCACGCCCGAAAAGCCAACGCAAACGGCAAAAAATCACCCGACCGCCGCAAACCACACAGAAAAAAACGCCGAAACGCCGAAAAAATAAAACCGCCCGCACCGCACCGACGCTAACTGCTAACCGAAAACGACTAAAAGTCGCCCGCCAGCCGCCAAACGCAAACACCGCAAATAAGCGCCCGGCCGCAGCAAGATAATAATTTATCAGCGGCTGGCATACCGCTAGGCTGGTCATTTTCACAAATCAAAAAGATATCTGCAAAAATCTCCTAGATGAAAGCGCCCGATTAAAAAACGGATGGCACGTGCGTGTTCCTCGCCCCCAACTTCCTTCAGGTCAATCCAAGGCTATAGAACTCCAGGTAAGGACACCAGCCGTTTGACCTTGAACGCCGCCGGCCGGCCGATGACGTCATTGGAGGCAAGCCGGCTCGGCGGACGCATCGAGCGAGCGTATAACGGAGGAGCGTTGGACGTTGCGGGAGCCGGGGAGAGATTTTAAAGCGTTTGCATACCACTATTGTTATGTTGATTGATATAGACTGCATTCTTATAAAGCTCGACGCATCTTAGGCCTGGATGGTGCGTACATTCGTAGAACGGTCCGACGTCCGTGGTCGAAGCTGTCTACTCTACATGTACAAAAGACGCTAAGACCGGTGCAATAACGGCGACCCGATCCCGTCCCTGGCGATTCTAGGACTCGTTAGGACCCAGGCCGAGTCTGACCCGTCTATTTTTAGGGAAACGGGGTGGGTGAATTGACAACCGAGTACCGATGGTTAGAATTGATCCCGTCGTCGAGCGATGGTTGATTGACAGACAACACATGTTGTAGTGGGCGGATAAGCATCAGGGATAATGCCTGAACGTAGGCAAGCAATAAGCATAATTGGTCAGCCAAATTGTTTAGGAATATAAAATCGTAACGGAGGTCCTTGAGGATATTATCTTTACATTACGAGGATTCACCACCAGTGACATTACTACTGTTAAACCCTCGGTCCCGGGCAACTCCGGGGAGCTGCAGTATCCGGCGGCCACCTTGTCGACTCGCAGGTCCTGTGGGCTTCCGTGGTGCTTCAGTGCTTCACCCAGAGGCACGGGTAGAGCAGTAGGATGTGGGGTGAGGTGTCTGTACGCCTCTTCATTGTAGGTACGACGCATACAGCGCCCAGTCCCGCCGAAGCTCGATAATCGACCGTGACATATTCTGAATTGGCGGATCCAGGAAACGGTCTTGAACACATCGGGGGGCATATACCTACCCTAAAAAAGGTTTCTGTGAATTAAAAAAAAAACATCGGATTTCGATTCCTTGCGCACTACTGTGCACTTCGATCAATACACTTTTCCTCATAAAAGTTGTAAAGTTTTCGTTTTATTCTCGAAAACGATTTCGGACGCTGCCCCGGATGTGGGCCTGTGGTGGATAACATTTGTCCCAAATGCCTTCCCTTGCATCCGCCAGCGGGTTGCCGCGCCTTGAGCTGAACTAAAAACGTCTTAAGATCCCACCAGAGGCTGCCGAATCCGATAACTCATCTCTGTCTGCCCGTCTAAATTACTACGCACCGTACGGCGCCCAGCCCCGTCGGAGCACTGAACCGACCGTGATATTTTTGGTTTTCCCCCATCCCCAGCTCCATTAGAAACGTTCTCTCTCCCCATCCAATTGCTCATGATGTCATTTCAAATTCAATACCTACCTCATCTCTGTCTGCCCGCCCATTCATTGCAGACCTTACGGCGCCCCGCCCCGCCAGAAGGATCCTAGCGCGCTGAGTGGTTGCCTCCAGCCGCGTCATCGCGAGGCCCCGCGGGGCCCGCAAATGAATACATTGCGTGAATAGCCGTGTCGCCCCCCTGGGTCAATCGTCATTTGGGTCATCTAACGCATTGACGTATCTGCAAAAATCTCCTAGATGAAAGCGCCCGAGTAAAAAACGGATGGCACGTGCGTGTTCCTCGCCCCCAACTTCCTTCAGGTCAATCGTCATTTGGGTCATCTAACGCATTGACGACCGGCTGGGTGGAATGAACATTGCGCCAAGAAACGTAAGTATATTGTCAACAAGAATCCCCAGAGTGGTGGATCCCAAAAGTTTGAAACTACCACTTTGGCCCACTGGACGACACCTTAAACAGTTGCCGACCGGATGACACCCATTGTTTGGTCACCCACGCCATAGTATGCATCATGGGTGCGCCGAAATGACCAAAAGTCCCAATTTCCGGTGTGCAGGGTCATTTTCAACGGCACGTGGCACGTGGTTCTGGACTTTTCCGGCCACTTTGCGACATACCCATGGGTAGTGCACCGAATGGTGGTTGATCTGCATGTAAGAAAATGGGGGGTCGTTTGGATCGTTTTCGAGCAATCTGCCGTGGAACGCATTTTTTCATTTTCCCCATAGGCTTAACACGGGAATTTTTAAAGTCACGTGGCACGTGCACCAGATGGTCCGCGGAGGGGAGACCCATACCAGAACGTAGATCACCTGGCCCACTAGAAATCCTGAAAAAATCAGAATATTTGGACCAGCCGTTTTCAAGAGCATCAAGTTGTACTGATCTCAGGCAGCTTTTGCCAAATTGTCAGGGAACTCAGATTTGTTTTTCAATAGAAAAACACAATTCTAAAGAATAGTGTTTTAACTATTGACAACAAACCTGCGGTTATCTTGAAAACCGGTGAATATTTTTCGATGAAATTGGTAGATATTCGTTTTCGCTCTTTCTGAACCGAGCGACATCAATTTCATGCCAATTCATAAGCTTTTTGAAGGTGGGAGGGTCCCTTTATAGGGGGGGGGGGCACTGCTGACTCTTGGTCCCATTCTTTCCATGCAACGCCCATAGGGCTGCTAATGTTAAAATGACAAAATCAAGGAGGCAGGTTGCCCCGATGCTCCCCCGTTCCGCCACCTGAGTCAACCATTTACTAATCGGTACACAATACAATAAAAGTTGTTTGTGCATTTAGGTACAGGCAAGTGAGCAAAGCTTTTTCACAATGCTCTTGCAATTCAAGTTCCTAACTTT